CTACAAAATTGCTGAATGGTATGATTTATACACTTCCAGATGATAAGTGAGTCTTTTTTGCGTTGAAATTCTGATTTCGGCGGATTTCAGTAAACTCATTGCCATACTCCACGAATACAGGCAAGAAGTTTTACAACTAAAGCTGTTGGCTGAAGCAGAATCCAAGGTTGGTTATGAAATAGTTATGAAATTGNTAAGTTAAATAGATAGGTTCCTCGGAGACAACCCCTTCCTCGGAATCGGTGGAGTGTCGAATTTGCGGGGTCTCCCCAAATTGGAACACTGTTCGGCTTGCGCGCTCCGTTGCGATTATGGGACCCTTTTCAACAGTACCCGCGTTTCGCAACAGAGAGGGGAAGGTTATGTGGAGGGTCTCGACAAGAAATCCGATATTTGCGCACGCGTCTTGAAGTCGTATACTGTACTTCTTACGAAACGTGGCGCGTAGCTCAATTCCATCGATTCCGGAATCCGCAGAAAGACACTAATTGATTGTGAGCAAGTATGTCGGAAGCCGTGGACCCAAATGTTTTCGATGCGAAAGGACCAATCGTTGTGAACTCTCCGATCACCAGTCATCGAACAGCTCTCATTCGTAATTATACAACAAAACCGCGATTGGTGAGTTTCAATTCGTCGTTAAATAAACCTTAAAGTAAATTTTTCAGACATATCAAACAGTTTGTGGAGTAAACGGACCACTCGTGATTCTCAAAGATGTAAAGTTCCCAATGTATAATGAAATTGTGAATATCACTCTTCCAAATGGAGAAGTCCGCATGGGACAGGTTCTGGAAACGTTCAAGAACAGAGCAGTTGTACAGGTTTTCGAAGGAACTACCGGTGTCGATGCGAAGCATACAAAGTGCGAGTTCACCGGAGACATTTTCCGGAGTCCTGTGTCTATTGATATGCTCGGAAGAATTTTCAATGGATCTGGAAAGGCGATAGACAAGGGACCGCCTGTTTTGGCCGAAGACTACTTGGATATCAACGGACAAGCAATCAACCCGTACAATCGTATATACCCGGAGGAGATGATTCAGACTGGAATATCAGCGATCGATGTCATGAACTCAATTGCTCGTGGCCAGAAGATCCCTATTTTCTCGGCTGCCGGCCTTCCACACAACGAAATCGCTGCCCAGATTGTGCGTCAGGGAGGTCTTGTTCAACTTCCAGATCGCAACAATGAAGCCGTAAACTTTGCTATTGTTTTCGCTGCGATGGGAGTTAACATGGAAACTGCCCGATTCTTCAAACAAGACTTCGAAGAATGTGGATCCATGGATAACGTTTGTCTGTTTCTGAATCTCGCAAACGACCCAACTATCGAGCGTATCATCACTCCTCGTATCGCTCTGACCGCAGCTGAATTCTTCGCCTATCATTGCGGAAAGCACGTTCTCGTTGTACTAACGGATATGTCTTCATATGCAGAAGCGCTAAGAGAGGTTTGTTATTTTCTTACGTTTCCTTCTTGACATTTAGAATTGGTCTCTACTATTTACCGATTTTTCCAGATTTCTGCTGCTCGTGAAGAAGTTCCAGGTCGGCGCGGATTCCCTGGGTATATGTACACAGACTTAGCAACTATCTATGAAAGAGCTGGCCGTGTCAAAGGTCGTGAGGGTTCGATCACCCAAATTCCGATTCTCACGATGCCGAATGATGACATCACTCATCCCATCCCCGATCTCACAGGATATATCACGGAGGGACAGATCTATGTGGATCGTCAATTACACAACCGACTCATTTATCCACCAATCAATGTACTCCCATCGTTATCGCGTCTCATGAAGTCAGCTATTGGAGATAACATGACGCGCGAGGATCATTCTGAACTTTCTAATCAGGTAATTGATAAGAAATTTCTTTTGGTAGTCGCAACATGATTATTCAGTTGTATGCTTGCTACGCCGTCGGAAAAGAAGTCCAAGCGATGAAATCAGTTGTCGGAGAAGAAGCTTTGTCTCCTGATGATTTGCTGTTCCTGGAGTTCCTTGGCAAATTCGAGAAGAACTTCATTTCTCAAGGCCATTACGAGAACCGCACCATCGTTGACTCCTTGAATATTGGATGGGAACTTCTGAGAATTTTCCCACGAGAGATGCTCAAAAGAATCCAAGAGCCAATTCTCGAAAAATACTACCCAAGAAAGAAACAATGAAAGAATGGCCTAATTGTAACTAAAATGTATAGAATCATTTATTTATTTTATTGCTTTCTCACTGTATCAGAGTGTCATGATTTAAATGCATTCATCGAGATAAACATTTCAGTGTTCAGTCATCATTTGAATGCACTCCTCTTGCTCCTTCTCAATTTTTTTGACAGCTTCCAACTCCACTCTCAACCTTTCTTTCTCAACTGTCAACTCTCGAATCGTCATTTGAAGAAGCACCGGATCATCTTCAGCCAAATCGCGTTCCTGGGTGTTCCGTACCATCATTGCTTTGATCTTTTCAGTTTCCACGACATTCGCAAACTAGAAGTAACAATTTAGAAATACAGAGTTTTAGCCAAAACGAACCTCCTCGATACTGTCAATGAGTCCACAGGTTACTGTTTGGAAACTTTTCAGCTGCTCATTGAACTCCGAAGACTTGTCTTGAGCAGTTTGAAGGAGCTCAGCGACATCTGAATTGTTTTATAATTTTTGGGAAAATGTGAAAGTGTTCTTTCAGTTTTCTTACCAGGATCTAGAAGTCGGAGTTGATTGAAATCATCAACATAGAGACCAGATTTTGCCAGTTGTTCGTCTCCCATTTTCAATAGCGGGGAAAGGAAGAAGAAAAACTGCTTCGTTTTAGTGTATGGCGTTGTCATGGTTACAAGAAGAGAGCACTTTTTATTGAGAGAAAAGGAAAGACGAAAGGGGGGCTTCGAAAAGAAGAGAAGCAAACATTAAAGCGAGTGGTGGCTAGTATAAAAGAGGGAAAATAATTATTTGAACTATTCAATAGATTATGGAATGTTGAGCGTAATTAGAGAGAAAAAGGAAATGAGAGTTATGAGCTTTAAATTAATAAAAAAAAGTTTTTAAATTAACAATATATTAATAAAATTAAAGTTTAAAAATCTTCCTTCGCACCGCATTCGTCGATTCTTCACTTATCATCTGAAAATGGGCGAAGAGTTGACTATAGAATACGGACTTCCGCAAAAAACAGCTACGATTTTTTGAATTGCATTTATTATAAAAACATTAGCTGTTTTCGGTTTTTATGCGCCTTGAAGTACAATTTCAGCCTAAAAGTATTACTAACCATTTCATCGAATTTCCGAATAACTCTTTTACTTTTAACTGGCAATTCTTTAGTTGAAAGACAATAATTCCCCTTGCTATTCGAACGGCTAGATGCTGTGCTCAAGTAGGTAACCTGGAAATTGGGGTTTCAGAAATGCTTCACATCCTCAAAATACCGTATACGATCCATGACTATCCGGCTGAGCATTCGCAGCTACACATTTCAAAAGTTCGCATTTCTTCGTGGCCGATCCAATTGTTTCCTTCTCTCCTACAGTAATCTTCTCTCCCGTGCACATCTAGAATCATATCTTTAACTCTTTGGCCTGAAACTATTTCCTATACCTGGTTATAATAGGTGCTCAATGTTCGCGTGGCATTCGTTGTCTCCTTCTCAGGCGGTCCTGGAAGGTAGGTGTCTTCTGTCGATGCAGAACTAGGGGCCACCTGGAATTTGGTTTGTAAAAAATTGGTGCAAAATGAAAGTTGTATACTTGAATCTGTTGTTTTTGAGGTGGGGAAGCTGGTTGTGGTTGTGTTGTATGTTGTTCATCTGTACTGGTTATACTCTGGAATGGATCCGGAGGACTTGGTGGGTAAGATTCTTGAGCTGGTGGAGCAACCACAATCGATGGAGTATGAGAGACAGAAACATGTTCGATGTACTTCAGAGGGTCTAAGACAGTGTTCGCTGGATCTTCAGATGATGCGATTTCACCCTGAACACTTTTTCAATTTATTGACATTTTTAGATTCTTCCACCCTTACCGCAAAACTAAGAGGTGCAGTTCCTTGATAATCCGGATTGATCGATGGTGCTTGAGGTCTATCCTGATACATTCCTTGATACGAAGAAGCCGCCGATACAGGAATCACCACTGCTGATGGTAGCTGCCGGGATGGTCCCGGAGCCGGCATCACGGGCGGTGGTGGCCGTGGCGGTGGTGGAGGCGGTTGACTGAATACCTGAAGACAAAGTTTTGGTTGGTATAATACTGTAGAAAATACATACCTGCGGAGTGAAAGCGTACATTGGTGGTGGCATAGGGGCCGTATACGATGGTGCTCCAGCTGCTGCTACTGATCCACCACATCCTCCAGGACTACTAGAACATCCACCTCCACCTCCTCCTCCAAATAATCCTAAATTTTAAAAATAAGAACATTTCAGACCAATTCTAAATGTCAAGATTTCCTTTTCAAAGACCCATAGCTTGCTTTTTTATCATTTTTATGACTTACCTCCAAACCCAGTTGGCAAACATCCAGAAGATTCTCGAAGCAGCAGCAACAGTATGTTGCAAATGAGAAAAACGCTTTGCGACATTTCTAAATTACGTGAAACGAATAGAATAGCTTCAGAGAAAGGGGTTCAGAGGAAGAATTTGGAGGGATGGAATGGCATGAGGAATGATATGCAATCAGAAGATAAGATGTGGACATCCCTCCTCCCATCCGGGAATGGGCCGAGTTTAATGATGAAATGGAAGAGAGGAAGATTGTTCAGGTTTTGAAGATTAATTAAAGAAAATGGAAATAGAGAGAAAAAGAGAAATGAATTAAGAAAACGAATTAAGAAAAAACAGCTGACTATGGAAATAGAGAGAGAGAGAGAAAGGGATGAAATGAGAATTTCTCTATCACCGCCAAAGTGTGAAATTAGTCAATTTAGTACAAGAATCATATCAATGAAGATAGTTTGAAATTTAAGAACAATCAGATTGAAAAGGAGAAGTAAAATTTGTAGAAAATAAATTAAAATTTGAGCCTGAAAATAAAGGAAGTTGAGCGAAAAGATACATGAAAAATTGAGAGCTGAAAATTTTATAAACTTGAGAATCCTTCCTTTTGACTTCTTATTTCTCTGAATCACAATTTTTGAATTCTGGAACCTTCAAAAGTCTGGAATTCGACTTCTGAACAATCTCTGAGACTTGAAAATGGAGTACTGTAAACACTAATAGAATGCCCTCCAAACCGTCAACTCACCATCAGTTGTTAAGTTTTTGATATCTTTCACAGTAATAGACATAAATTTGATCAAAGTTGAAAGTTAGAGAGCAATTCTATTAGAGTGTTTACGGTACTTTCAGAATCTTGGAAGTTTTCGGGATGCAGGCTCAGGAAACATTCTCGAGTTGTTCTTTTTTTTCTGAGTTTCTGAAAACTTCAGACTCGAGAACATTTCCTAATTACTAGCGAGTTTTTGAAATAACAAAATTTAAAACTTCAGAGGCCGAAAATTCAAAAGTCTGAAACTTCTGAATCTAAACATTTTAGAAACTCAGAAGTCTGTTCACTTTCCTAAATCAATTTCATGAATCTAGGCTCCGGAAGTTTGGGAATCCTTTTCAAAACGTTAGAGAAAGTGTCCGTAGAATAAAATAAGACAAATCCAGTTTAGCAATAAGAACAAGCTACAGTATTACGGTACTTTCTTTCCAGTAGGTGCCAAGAAATTAACGAACGGAACGAAGTAGAACGGAAAGAAAGTGGGCGGAGTTTATCGGTGAGAAAGAGTTGCGAACAAAAGATACAGGTTGTAAACAAACGTAACTGAACCATGAAGAAGAAGACGAAGACGTGACAGAATAGGTGATATGTATATGGTATATGTGTGTACTTTTATGAAATCGAAATCCGGTTGGAATCAGAAAAAGAAAGAGAGAGGACAAACAGTTTAGTTAGCATCGGATAGGGGATACTAGTCCCAAAGTTTGCACTCTTTTTGGCAGATTTTATGGGCCAGCACAATGCAACTAGAGAGATTGTTTGAGTTTTTGGAGATATATAGGGAAAATCTAACTATAAAGAAAGAACATGGCAAAAATTGAGAAATGCTAGGGATTTCAGAATTTCAAAGTTTTAAACTTTTTGAATTTCAGATCTGTGAGATGTTGCATCACTGAACTTCAAATTTAAGAAATCTTACTTGGAAGGATTTTAACATCTCGGAATCTCAAATTACTCTAAAACCTCTAATAGAAGGGTCCCCTACTTTAAACTTTGATCTTGATTATCTCGGTTCTTGTCAAAGATATGAAAAAGTTGTTGACTGATAAATTGCTTATCATAATGTCAAAAATGTTTATTAGTTGACAAACTTCTGATATCTGTCGTACGAACCGAGTTAATTGAGCTCAGAGTGCACGTACAGGGTGGGCTTCTAACTTCAAGATCTCAAAGTCTATCGTTGAGTTGTATATGGAAAAGTATAGCTGTATAAGAATATGAAAAAACTCAAAACCTGTGGATTTCCGGAGAAGAAAGTGCTGTCTCTGTGGCTGTCTGGGAAGCGCCAGTGAAGTCTCTTGTCAACTTTATAAAGAGATGGGCGGTTCTCAGAATCCAAACGTTTCCTTCTCATCATTATCGCTCTCATCATAATCACCTTCTTCTCCTTCAAGTTCTCAAAAGATTTGCTGAAGGATAGAAGCGATGACGGAGAGAGAGAGAGAGAGTAAGTGGCAGTATAGTATAAAGAAGTGTCAATGTTCCGTGAATAACAGAACACGTTCTGGTGGTAACACAGTATCATTGAGTCGAAACTCAACACAAATTAGCCGGAAAGAATATAAAAAAGAAGAAGACGTTAGAGGAACAGAATAGAAGAAGAAGGAAGAAGGAAGATTCATGGGAAGCAAAGAAAAAGGTTCCGATGGAGAGAGAAAGTTTTCTATTGAATTATTCGTAAAAGGTGAAAGTCGATATTTATCATCTATATAGATATATTAGGTTTTAGGGAGGGACAAAAAAATACACAGGTAGAACCAGAAATTCTTGTTATAGCCTATTTAGATTTAAGTACATTTTTCTGAAAAAAAAAAGGAAGAACTGGTAGGACGAGGAGAAAGTGAGAATTATGAGATAGGGTACATTAGGTATAATCTTATTGTAAGTTATTTTTCAGGATGAACGGAGGACACGCTATTTCAAACAGCCCGGTCGGAAAACGCGCCCCAGCGAACGTGAAAAATCACTGCGCAACGTGTCAAATTTTCGTTGGCTGAGGATCACACTTTTAAACGTTGGGCGAACAAATCATGAGTTGCAATGCGTTGATTACATATATTTATGTCAAATCTACGTCAGCTTTTAAATTATTAAATTTCGCCTGGCCTAAAAGTTTTCTGGGGCGCGATTTTCGACCCGTTGGTTTGAAACACCGTGGGAGGATAAAGAAAATTCGATTACAGAAAACCCACAAAACATTCATAATATTCAGAGTTTTCAGAGTTTTGCGCTTAAATCGAAATTTCGACCTGTTTATTCAAAGTTTTTGAACTTCTGGAATCATCAGAATAAACCAAGTGCCTGCAAAAAAAAAAATCAAAAGACTTTTCTATAAATTCATAACATCAAAGGTTCCAATTTCCACAAATTCAACAAATTCATATCCCACAAATTCATATCCACAAATTCATATCCAGAAATTCATAATTCTTATAATTTCAAAATCTCTAATGTTTCAGAAAGTCTTCCTAACATCTTTGAAACTCCAAGTTTCAAAGTTGCACAGTTTCTAGATTCTACAATCTAGAATTCCATATTTTACTCAAATAGCCATCTTCCTTATAAATAAAACGCTAGAGGCGTCTGTCCGTCCCGGTGTCAGTCTGTAAACTTTTGAAAAGCTTGAAAAAATATAAATTTACGTGACCCTTTAAAAATAATTGAGGAGCTGAGCCACGAATCAGTAAAAAACTAGATTGATTCGCGCCGACGGCGCAACAGCTTGCTGGAATAAAACAATCAAGTTACCTTTACCACTAATAGAATGATGCCGAAACCGCCAACTTTGAAACCATATATCTCATTTCCTGTAGAAGATTTAAAAGAAAATGTTTTATAATATTATCAAAAAAAATTATCAGTTAATTACTTTTTCATATATTTCACAGAAACCGAGATAAATTGGCTCAAATGTTGAAAGTCAATGGTGTCATTCTATTACAGTGTTTACGGTACATCGAAAAAATGAAAAGCAAAAAAAAAACCAAATCCCAAAAATTCACCAAGACACAAAATTCGGAAACTTTTTGGCAAATTGTCCATTCGCCGAAAATTTGCATGTGTTTGGCTAACGCCTTTGGCTTTGAAAAAGAAAACTTCATTTTCTGAGTATATAATTACAGTTGTGTCTCTAATTGGTTGCATCGGATTTTGGAGAGAAGAGAATGTAGTTGAAAAATAAGCGGAATAAGAAGAAGTTTTGTACTTTTATGAGTGTTGAGAAACTAATCAGTTGAATGTCCATTTCTCTTATTTTTCTGGCTTCTTCCTCGAGAGGTCAATTAACTCGCGGAGAGGAAGTGGAAATGAAATCGGTTGGTTTTTATTATCGTAATAGTGCTAATAGCAGTGGCATCTTCTGGATGGGAACTGCCAGTAGCCTCTGTCAATATTGACGTCTTCTGGGAGAGAGATTCGTGAAGAACTATTTTAAACTTGGAAGGAGTTTTTAAGATTCCGAAACTTCAAAGAACGAAAACATTCTGAAATTTAGTTTTTTGTTCTAATTCCGAAATGACACTCGAGTCTCACGAGACGAAACACATGTAATTCACTTCAAGTAAGCTTTACGGTTTGAAGCTAGAATTGTCAAACTTCAAAAGTTGTGCTACTTCAGAGAGACAAATCTCTGTTTAGTGACTATGTACAGAAAAGTAGTTGCTAGCTACAAAACATCGCCTTTTTTCAGCTTAACATATTTATTTTTCAGACATTTTTGTTTTTTCAAGCAAATGGCTTTTCACCCATATTTCTTATAAAAATATTCCACTGAAGTTGTGACAATTGTATCCGCGTGTCGACCCGACATGGACTGTTTTCGACCCCATAACATGCTCCACTGACCTATCCCCCCCCCCTCTCCTTCACCAGTCTCGTGGATCCAAAGAAAATCAGTCTCCACTTCAACTCGAGTTATAACTCCCTTGTTAGTAGATTCTTTGAAAATTCATTTGTTCACTTTCTGGCTTTCTGACTCTTATCTAGAGCCCCGTCGGCTATGGCATACTAGAATTCCTAGTGAATATCGGTATGTCAATGGTTTAGCTGGTTCTAGCGTGTCATGAAGGTTAGAATGTGAATTATGAACTCTCCTAGAATCTTCTAGAATCCCCTAGAACCTGCTAGAACCTTCTAGAATCTCCCTTCACTTCCTAAGTTTCTCTAGATTTTAGTAGATTCTTTGAAAATTCATTTGTTCACTTTCTGGCTTTCTGACTCTTATCTAGAGCCCCGTCGGCTATGGCATACTAGAATTCCTAGTGAATATCGGTATGTCAATGGTTTAGCTGGTTCTAGCGTGTCATGAAGGTTAGAATGTGAATTATGAACTCTCCTAGAATCTTCTAGAATCCCCTAGAACCTGCTAGAACCTTCTAGAATCTCCCTTCACTTCCTAAGTTTCTCTAGATTTTAGTAGATTCTTTGAAAATTCATTTGTTCACTTTCTGGCTTTCTGACTCTTATCTAGAGCCCCGTCGGCTATGGCATACTAGAATTCCTAGTGAATATCGGTATGCCAATGGTTTAGCTGGTTCTAGCGTTTCATGAAGGTTAGAATGTGGATCGATCTTTCAAGAAGCATCAACTTTCAATATTCTTTTTTTTTGTTTGTTTGAAAGAACAATGAACATGATGACATTTGAGTCTTTGCATATTTTTTTTTCATGATAAGGAGTGAACAGAAATAACAAATAAAATATTTGTGATTTTTTGTGTTGACTTGCATAAAGATAAGAAGAGACAATGAAAGAACACAAGTAACAAAAATTCGTCTCGGCAAATTCCAAAAATTCCTTATTCATAAATCTTCAGACCGTTGAATTAAAAAAAACTTGATTGGAATTTTAACCCGCTTTTTGATCTTTCGGTGGTGATGATAAGGTCTCAAGTTTTATGTTTCCACCCCGTTACGAGCAAAGATAAAATCGAGGGGGAGGTGAGAGAAAAGAAGGTCAAAAAGGAAGACACGGAGGAGAAGATGGAACAGTTGGAATTGAAGTTTGACAGATTTTCTTCGAAATTAGAAGACCTAAAAATTTAAAGAAGTTGAGAAAAATATTGGAGCTATTATTTGTTCATTCAGCTATAACACTTCCCTGTTTTGCATACGTGTTCAATATCAATTTCACCAGACGTTTGTTCAGATACAAAAGAATCGTAGTTAAAGATTTTTATGACCTCTTCTGAAACATATTTTTCGCTTTATCAGAAACAAATAAAAATGAGCAAAAATGTTAGTGCTCATTATGACTATTCTATGATTTTGGGGTTTCGGGTTTTTTTTGGTCATCTGAAGTTCGAAAAAATCAAGAAAACATAAACTTCCAACAAAATTCAGGTTTCATTGTTACATACAAACAAGTGACGAATTTTCAGTTTTTCTCAAAAGGTCATGAAACATCCTCCCACACACATTTTACGACCAGAGTACACTTATCAGAACAGTGCATCTCTACATTCTCTGACTCTCTGTGTCTCTCATTCTTTTCGACTAATCTCATATTTATTAAAGGGGGACTCCGACCAAAAATTTTTATTGCATTAAAATGTGTTAAAAGTTATCTATTTTCCGAATATTATTGCGAAAAAATTCAAAAAAATCCGAAATCCCCGAAAAACGGCGTTGAAAAGGAAGAAAATTCAAAAAAAGGTGCCGCCGGGGGACGAGGATTTTCAGTGAGAAACCTAGGCCACGGCAGCGGGCGCCTTTCCTACGTGGCAAATTTTCCGGATTTTTTTCAATTTCATGTCTGGCAGGTAAAAAACGTAAAAAACCACTGTCGGCGACTTAAAAAAAGGCTGTCAAGTGCCGTGACCTACGTTCCTCACTGAAAATCCTCGTCCCCCGGCGGCACTTTTTTTTGAATTTTTTCCTTTTCAACGCCGTTTTTCGGGGGTTTCGGATTTTCTTTGAATTTTTTCGCAATAATATTTGAAGAACAGATAACTTTTAACACATTTTAATGCAAAAAAAATTTTTGGTCGGAGTCCCCCTTTAACAGATGATCCATTCCCTATCTTTTGGACAGTCATCTTTTTTTTCAGTCTTTCGGGTACTTTTGGAAATTTTCAAAATGTTTTCAACCACCATTTCTAGTCATTTCGATCAATTTCAATCAAGTGCTCCTCCCAAATTTCTCAATTTTCTTTTATCACAATTTTGTCACAAATATTGCACTAATTTTAATTTTCGTTCGCATTATTTCTCCTCCCAATTTTATTGTTCGACGAAAAAATGTCATCTTCTTCTTCTCCCATCCCACTGATTTTTTTTGCTATCTTTGTGTGTGTGTGCATCTTTTGATAAAACCCTTTTTCTTTGTGGTGGAAACACGAAATTTGGACAGTGCATCCTGTGTATGTCATTTCCTACTTGATGTAATTAAAGAAAATATAATTGAACTCAAATAGCTATTATAACTTTTTTATCAAAAGGAAATTTTAAATTCAAAAAAACTATCATTTTCAGGAGAGATGCCAAAACGAGTATGTGTGATCGGAGCTGGCGCAGCAGGTCTTGCAGCTGCAAAACATTCATTGGCTAAAGGATTAGAAGTAGGTCAAATTTTAAAATTTGAAATGTAATCCATGAATTGTAGACTTCTTGAGGGTATATTTTTAAGATACTCCAAAGTTTTTAATGCATTAAAATTTTCCTAATATTGATTCCGGATTGAAAAAAATTCCCGTAATAATATTAAGAAAATACATAACATTGGAAACGTTTTGGTGCAATAAACATTTTTGTCAGAGTCCCCCTTCAATGGTACTGCAATCAGATGCACGAATATATATTTTTCCACTTTTCAAATTGCATTTATCATCGGTTCTGTTTCAAAAGTACAAAACAATGTTTTAAAACAAACTATGTAGACAATGAAATATAAAATCTAATTCTAATCGAATTACAAAAAGTTCAGAGTTCAAGAAATTCTAAAAACCGGTTGAAGTTATGAAAAATGATCAAAATTTGAAACTAAATAGCTTTTGGTAAATACTTCTGAAAATCAACTACTATTTTTTAGGTAGAAGTATTTGAGCAAACGAATCGAGTCGGAGGAACATGGGTGTATTCAGAACAAACGGGTTGCCATTCCAGCATGTATCAAGATTTAAAGTAAGTTTAACAAAAAAATATGGGTTACTTTTTCCATCCAGAACCAACCTCCCGAAAGAAGTAATGCAATACCGAGATGTTCCATTTCGTGCGGATCTTCCCTCCTTCCTAACTCATGAAGACGTTCTAGAGTATCTTCAAGAATTCTCCACAGGCCTTCCTATCAATTTCAATCACACTGTGGAGAGTGTAGAAAGAGTTAATGATCAGTGGAAGGTAAGAAAAATTACAGGAGTTCTTAAAATTTGAATGATGATTCCAGGTGACAACACATCATGGAGCGGGAATTAGTGAGACGCTTTTTGATATTGTTTTCGTGTGTAATGGACACTATTTTGAGCCAAATAATCCATACGAAGAGAATGATTTCAAAGGTGAGTGTCTATAAAAAAAGGAATCCAACTTTTTATTTTTCCAGGAACCCTTATCCACAGCCATGACTACCGTCGTGCCAAAGACTACGTTGATCAAGAAGTCGTTGTGATTGGAGCAGGTCCATCTGGAATCGATATCGCTCTCCAACTCTCCGAAACAGCCAAGAAGATCACTCTGATCAGTCGCAAAGCGACATACCCGACACTCCCGAAAAACATCACCCAAATTAGCCAACATGTCAAAAAAGTAATAGCAGAGGGGTGTGAAACTGATGATGGTACTGTGATTACGGCAGACACTATCATTGTTTGTACTGGATACTTTTATAAGGTAAATTGTTCGTATTCTGGAATTGTTAAAGAAAACCAGAAACTATTGCAGTATCCATTCCTTCAAGACAGCATACTTCGAGTTAAGGAGAACAATCAACTGGTATCACCGATTTTTGAGCACGTCGTTCATGCGGAGTACCCAGATAGCTTGTATTTTATTGGTGAGTTTTTCAAATCAGTGTTTCTAAGGTTTTGAAGTACTTCCAGGTCTGAACCTCGTGACAATAACATTCCCACTATTCGAATATCAAGTGAAAATGGCGTTGGGGTTTGCAACTGGATCGGCACCGATTCCTGATAGAGATACGCTCATCGATTATGAGAAAAATCAAATCGAGTAAGTTTTGAAATTATTTTTTTTCATTTTTCAGTCAAACGTCAGCATTCCTAACTCTTGAAAAATTGAATTCTGAAGACTTTGGCATCCCAACTGGTTGATTTTTTCAGACACCAAAAATCGCGAGGTCTTGAAACCCGATTCTACCATCTTCTTCAATCGGAACAGTGGGATTATTTGGCCAGAATTGCGAAACTGGGTCATTTTGATGAGTGGCCGTATATGAACACCATTGAAAACATCACTCAATACCTAAATGAGCAACGGAAATCCAATGTGATCGGGTACAAAAACATCAATTTCCAACTGAGTGATAACGGGATGGAATATGAAGTTGTTCGGTGTTGAGGAAATCGTATTTTGTGTATATTTTATTAAAAATGAAGCTTCATTCTAGAAAAAAGAGATCAATATACAAAAGACATGGGTTGAGCGAAAAGTATATCAACGGGGAAAAATACACCAAATTTATAAAAATGAGCTAATTAATAATATCCTAACCAGCTACTCGGTTGGTTCTTCTTATTTTTCTCCCATACAGTAAACTCTAATCGTCTCAGCGAATAACTAAGAGATGCGAATTTTCCTTGTGGGTTTGGGATATGATGTATAACTCTTCTAGATCATTTTCTTGTAGTTCGAACCATTGCTCATGTGGTTTATAGGTTGGGAATCGGAACGATGAGCAAATAATCTCAATTCTTTTGTAAGCAGATGCTCCCGATTTCCAGTTCTAGAAAATTTGAAAATTCTGAAAACCAATCCCGATATAACAAACCTGAACAATTTTCTTCACATGCCTCAATTTGATTTTGTCGCCTAGAACTGTGTCAGCTACTACCATTAACAATTTCGATTCTCCAACTTGATCCAAATCTAATGGAACTCCGTACATCCGAAGATCAACAAGTCGGGGAAGTTTCTGAAAGTTTTGATTTCATTTTTTGGTTAAAATTTTTGGTTACTTTCAAATCCTACCGATAGATCTAATGTTCCTTTTTTGTAGATTAATTGATTTGCTGGGAATAGAGTCAACTTCTTGGGAGATAATTTTTCCGCAAGATTCAGCGAGTCTACTTCATCCGAGACACCGACATCGTCCACTTTGAACTTGTAGATATCAAAGAGAGGAGCTAGGCCGGACTGAAAAAAAAAATGAAATTACCCACTGAAGACATGAGTTGCATTACTCACGACGCCTAAATGAATATTTTTGAATTGATATTTCTGCAGAATCCATTTCAAAATTTTCTCTAAATAATCTCTAGATGACAATGACACCGATCTAGTTGATTCCATCGTTTCCTCCCCATCGTATTGTGTGTGCACCACTGTACGAATTCCACTTTCCAACTTTAACGTCCACTCGACGACCATCTCATCATCCAACTCGCAACGGACGGTGTAGAACTCAGAAAGATATGAGACACTCTGCTCGGAATCTAGGTCACCTACACCAACAGACACTTGTCCCTTGATGGACAACGAGTAAGCTTCATTCAGATGACATTCGTAATGGGTACGAAATCTGGAATTGACTTGAGACAGCGATCTCAGAGACGACCATTTGAGAAATGGATGCAAATGTTGGAGAAAGACGTCGGGAAGAGATTCGAGAGGGAATTTGGGCAACGAAGAGTTCTGGAAAATGGAAATTTAGGCAAAAGGGTGCGTTGTTCCATTGTTTGATTATTATTCTCCCCATTCATGGACTACTAATTACCAAAGTCGAAATGCAAACAAGATTATGGAGCGGAAATTTGGGAGTTGGTGAGAAGACAAAAATATTTATGAAGAATTGAATTTTAACTTTTAGCTAGAGTATACACAAAAATGGAAAAATAATGTCACTTCAAGAATCTCAATTCGTTTTTTGCCCCACTGAAATCGTAGAAAAGGTTTTTATCTTGAAACTTGAAATAATATGCAAAAATTAGCTACCAAATTGAATTTGGTGCATAGAGAGCTTCATAAGGAGTCTAAATACGCTCATGTTAATAAAATTGGGTCTCGCCGCGAAAACAAGAGTAATTCTCAAACTCGTTCAAAACTAGCCGTGTTTATACTCATTTTGAAGCATATAACATACCAAATCTAACAAAATTAAATTCATTTGAAATGTGTCAAAATTAACTGAGATATTAAAATATTTAAACTTTTACAAAAAATTGAAATGATCAAAACTCGAATATTCAAAAAAGATTCAGTTATGTGTAAACTACATTTTCATAGTCTCCGTTGGTTTTCTTTGGCTGCAAAACCGAATGTGTATATTTTTTAATCTCCTGGATTAAAGAACATGCTCTAACTTGAGTTTTTAGGAGATTTTTTATTTCGTTGAAGATATTTTTGAATCTCGAAAATGCTCACCTCCGCTTTGTCTTCATCAATGATATGTTCTTCCTCTTCTTCCAAATTCTTCGTTTCCGTTTTTTTCTCTCCAAGTGAGGCTGTCATTTCTGTATGAGATGATTATTAAGACTTCACCAGAATACACAGCCAACGACGACAATGTTAATAAGCAGACAATTGGCGATTCTTTTTTTTCTGATCGACTTCTTCTTTGATAATGAGAAGAAAACGAAAACGACCTAAAAGAAGGAGTATGTCACCTGAAAATTGCAATAGTTTTTCTTGAGAGAGGAAAGAAGACACAGAGAAAAAAGGAGAAAAAAGATAAAGCCGAGATTTATTGTAACTACATTTTGAACATAAAAGGAGAGCACACTTCAAAATGAAAAGGAAAAGATTAAGAGGGAGCAGTAGACCGAGAGCCGTCAAATTAGTACTTGAATGCTGCTCTTGACAAGGGTAACTTGAGAAATAGAGAGAGGAAGAGACGGAGAGAAGCGAAGAGCTCATTTTCATTTTTGGGTGGTCCCTCTCCTTTCGAAAAATTGAGATGCATATATTAAAAGAGAAAAAGGGGATATGCTCAAGTTTGTGCACAAATATCTATGGGTCGTAGAATGAAATATTAGGTGAATAGAAGAACAAGAAAAAGGAAACGCTATCGAATCCTACTTACTATTTACGATTTTTTCTGAAACAATTATAAACAAATCAAAATTGTAAATTCGGTGGGCTGATAACAGAATCAATTAATGATCAAGGATGACAGACTCTTTTAGACAGCAAAAACATGTTTTTTGGGATTCTGAAGGCTTTAGGAATTTCTAGAGAACGAGTAAAAACTATATGTATTTATGATTGGTATATGATACCACAATGTATGTTTTTACTTTTCCAAAATGTTTGTGATTTTTTTTTTGCGGTAGCTGTACAACTGTTCTAAAAAATGATTCATAATAGGCGTCCCGAATCAAATCAAACAAAAATGCAGCTTTACTATTTCTTGAGGGATACGTTGGTTAGCCTAGAAACTTCCAAAACTTTCAAATTGTGAACTTTTAACAGCCTGAAGAAACTGAGTAGTATGGACACCATACTGTATGGTACCAAAAATCATAGTTGAACGGGCCGGGCCGGCCCGCCGCACATAGTGGAAAAATTTCAAATGAAAAATTGGGTCTTTTTTTTTAATTAAAGAAGAAAACATTTGCATTTTTGAACAAAATTAATAGAGTGGAACGTAATAAAAAAGGGTAGTTTTTGTTCAAATTTTTGAAAAAAAAATTTTATATTTTCAAGAAAAATTGAAAAAAAAATTTAAAAAACACTATGGAAATTCTAGAAGAGTTTGTTGTAGAAAGTACTTTTCGAAATGGAAATTATATCTCCGATTGAAGGAATTCCACCAAATGTTCTTTAAAAATCTGAGATAAATAAAAGAAAACAAAAACTGATATTTCATTATTTCCAAAGAAACAAATCATTGTCTCTCCTCTATTTTTTATTTGTCTTTGTTCTCTAATAGATGGGCGGTCCCTTCCCGAGGCGGAAAAAGAGAAAGCCTCCACCCGATTATTATTTGGATTATGTAAATATTTGTTCAAAAAGTAGGAGGAAAACGAGAGACACTTTTTAAATACTAATATCACATAATTTGCTTCTGAATTCGCACAAGTGGAAGGAGTATCGTCGAGAAAAAAAAACAAAATTCATGAGAATAAAAAGTGTAAGAAAAACAAGAAAGAGAGTTTTCGGGAGTTGAGAGAAACAGAGAAAGAAAAACGAGGGACTCTGCTGAGCCTGAAAAATTGGAAAAAAAGAATGGCTCGAGTAGTAAAAAAGGCAGAAAAACGAGAGAGATGCATTTTCATTTTTTTCTTGTTTTCTTTTTTCTCTTTCATCAAAAAATGCTCGAGCTAGCATTTTTCTTTTTAGGAATATATTTTCAGTAGCCCTCTGAAAGCTCATGTTATTTCAGTTTGAATAACGAGTTTTCAAGTCTTAGAGGTACGAAAAACTGGTTTCATGTTGAAATTTTTAGATTTAGATTTAGATTTTTTTTATTTTTTATTTTCAGAGCGGTGACCAACAGTACATAAGAAAAAGGCAGCCCCCCTCACGAGGAGCGCCTAATAAGTTAAAAAGAGAAGAATAATGGAAAAGGGAGGAATTATATACAGTAAAATACATGTGTTAAAAATAAGGATAATAGCTAGTAGCGAGAAATAGAAGAATCAAGGAGATTTTCAAATTGGGACGGAGTGAGGAAGTGGGAAGTGGGGTACATTGGCAGACGGACCGAGTTAGATAAGCGGAAATGAGATTCAGGGTGGTGAATGTAAGAAGTAAGGTTAATTATTTTGTACAGAAGCATTAACTGAAATTTGAGGCGTCTATGACGCAAAGAGAAAAAATTGAGAATTTGGAGTCTGGAAGGATAAGAGGCACCGGGGGTAGACGAAAATGGTATATTACAACGTTGGCAAATAGTTTTGGAGAAGAAACGAAAGGGGGACTCAAGTTTTTTAGACAGTTTGGAATCGGGATGGGGGGAAAATATGACCGAGCAATATTCTAGAATTGGCAAGACGTAGCAATTGAAAAGGGCAAGGTAGAATTCGGGGGATTTGGAGTTAAAGGATTTGAGGAGTTGTTTACACCGGAGAAGGGCAAGGGAGGAGACACGATTAATATGATCTGAGAATTTGAGGTTGGAATCTGTTAATAAACCCAGATCACGGATGGGGGAGGACGCTGTAATGGGGAGGCCATCAATTGTATAGGGATGAGAAGGGTTGTTTGGGCCAAGACGGAGAAGAGCAGTTTTGGCATGAGCCAGAGGAAGAAGGTTAGATTTGGCCCAGGCACCAATATGGTCAATACCTGATTGAATGGAAGACGGATCGTGGGAGAATATTTTGATATCGTCAGCAAAACAGGAAAAATGTAAGTTGGAGGGAAGGGAAAGGAGAAGATCGTTAATAAATATGATGAAGAGTAGGGGACCGGCTACAGCGCCTTGGGGAACGCCAGAGGGGATAGGGTGAGAAAGAGGTTCGATGAAATGGTTAATTTTGACAGAAAAGGAACGGTTAGTGAGGAAGCCTTGGAACCAGGAGATGAAGAGGGGTTGAACACCAAAATTTGCCAATTTGGCTAAGAGGAGGGCATGAGATACTTGATCGAAAGCCTTGCAAAAATCAAAATATACAACGTCTAGGGTTTTATGACGGGCCAGAATCATCTTATAACTGGAAATAGAGTGTATTAGGGCGTTTGTACAGGAACGGTATGCTAAGAAGCCATTTTGATAGGGGCTGAATTTGTGGGCGAGGTCAGATTTGATGGCGCATAATTACCCGGACTGATAAAAATAGGGTATATCTTAAGACATACGTGTCTTGGAAACTCGAAAACTGATAGAAATATAATTTTACGTTTGATTCAAAGCTTCTGAAATTTTGAAAGCGATTCCTCAACTCTAGGTATTGTTCTGATTGTCCAATTATGAACGGCGTAATGTTCGTTGCACGTATTTGTGATTTTCAAGAGCTGAAACGAGGAACACAGCTTAAAGTTGATCAAATGTTTTGAAATTTGACCTGTTTACTGATGAACAATTTGAATTTTTCGACTCCAAATTTGAGATGTAATAGAGTGCTCTTTTGCTAATACATACTAGAGTTCGGGTATTTGTGCGCCACCATGTGTCTGAATTTTGTTATTTAATTTTAAACTTTAGATAAACATTGTTTTGGAAAGGGAAAAAATAATTTCGAAATGTCTAATCCGATAATCATGTTGTAAAACAACATACTTTTTCTATATTTTCTGTGTGGTCAGAATCATCATTAAAAGTGATAAGAAAACAAAATGATTAGATTCTCTCTCTCCGGACACATTGGGAGAGAAAAGAAAGAGTGAGTTGTCTATCTGTTTGATTATGTGGGTGTGCATATGTCTCTTATTCCCACACAACCAACTGCCGAGAGAAAGTTTAAAGATACGAATGAGAGCACATGGTGTTTCGAGAGCCATCCGGATAGAAAGAACTACCCGGGTGACGACAGATTAACACACTAGGAGAAGGGAAATAGATTTGAATGTGAGAAATTGAGTGGGGAGAGCTCAGAAGGTGCAGGTGTAATCAGTTTATCGGGAGATTGACACGTTTATTGTTACTCGGAAATGTTACAAAATAATGGTGTTTGTGAATTTCTGAACTTTAAACATTTTGATTGACTTTGGAAGTTATAGGAATTTTCTAGAAAGTTCCCAATTCTTATTTTCTCTAATCTACTATACTGCATTTCCTCTAATAGAAGCCTACCTCTAATAAAAGCCCACCCTCTAATAGAAGCCCATCGGCTTCTATTTGAGAAAATAGGATAATTCGAAATTCCAGAATTTTTGGAACTGTAATTTAAGAACTCGACAATTTTTGAATTTTCTGATTTCTGTATTTCACAGTTTCAGATTTTTAGAATTAAAGAAATTTATTTCGGAATTTCAGAATTTCTAAATTTTGGATTTTTAGATCCTGGAATCTCAGAATTTCATAAATCCGAAATTTTTGAATTTAAAATTGCGGAACGAAAATTTCGAATTTTCCAAACACTGAATTTCAGAATTATGAACTTCTGAATTGTCAAATTTCTGAATTTTTTAATAAAAAATTTTGAAAATGAATCATTGAAAAATAGGGGGCAACCCTCTAATAGAAGCCCACTCTGCGAAAGAGGTTCAAAAATAGAAGCTCATGGGTTTCTATTAGAAGAATACGGTAACTATGGAAAATCAAATTTCAAGCAGGGGAAAAAAAGAAAATATATTTTCAAAACACCAAAAATGAAAATATTTTTAGGTTAGTCGCCGTTGTAGCCCTTCTGCCACGGCCACCGGCGTATCTCTTCCACAACTCCAATTTTAAGCACAATTATAATACTAGAATTTGAAAAGAAAAAGTGTTTGTTATGATCTTCAAATTCAAGAATTAAGTTGGATAAAAAGAACCACTGCTTGTCTTTGAAAGAACTCTGATAGTAAATCATGAAAATTATTTTCTTCCGAACAAAAACGAGGGTTTCAAACGAGTCTATTGTAAAACTCGAATAACATTCAAAACCAATTACAAAATAAGTCGAAAATCATCTCCAAAATATTGGTTCAAAATAACAGAGCAATTATTTTTGAGTGTTTTTATTTGCCTGTGACACATTCGTTTCCCGTTTCAACTCTTTGTTCTTTTTTGTTTTTCTGTAACCGTCCCTGTTATTGTTTTGACAGTTTTTTTGTGTTTTCTTTCTACTCAAATTTTTCAACGAATGCGACGAAAAATCTTTTTTCAAATATCGTAAACACTCTAATAGAATCACCATTCTAACTTTTAATTTTGGGCTAGTTTATCTCGGTTCCTATGAGGGATATCAAAATATGGTCAACTGGCAAAATATTTTTGATACAATCAACATTTTGTTAGTTGATCACTTTTTGATATCTTCTACAGGAACCAAGAAAAATGGGTTAAAAGTTGTCATTGTTGTTAGTTTTCTTCAAAATTCTCAGTAGGGCAAACATGCGAAAATATGAAAAAATTCATTGAATTGAAAATCAAGAACAAGAAAGAAATGAATAAGGAAAAAAAAGTCACATCTCAAGTACAGAAAATTGGGGGGTTCTACAGAAAAACGAAAAATAGAGCTAATAATCTGTGAGGAAATAGAGAAAAAGGGGAAAATATGAGGAGAATGAAGAAATGATGATGTTTTATTTTTCTGAATTCGGAGAAAATGGGCGGGACAAAGAGACAGAAAAATGTTTGTATACCGGTCATTGAAAATGTCGATTTTTATTGTGTAAATTTTGATGGACGGGGTGGCAAAAAAGAACAAAAATACAGGACAAACGTTTTGAGGGAACCGGAAAAATTGTTGTGGAAAGAGAGGAAAAAATGGAAATGAAGAATTGAATCAGTAGTTGCACGTCTCCAGTTGGCCATCAACCATTTTCAGAGTGCGGGTGCGACGGACTAAAAAAACATGTTGTTATAGGGAAAATGAAATTTTCAGATTCAAAGAGCCTGAGATTCAGAAGTTATGGAATTCTAATAATTTACTTATTTGATTTAATTATTTAACACTTCTCAAATTCTTTTCAGATTCCAATATTCTGAACTTACGTGATTTCCGATTGAACTGCCTGGCTCTTCGTCTTTGATCTCTTGGATCCGTCTGAAGTGTCGCCGCTTTGACAAGCCCGTTCAGAATCTCATCTTCTGGTGATTCAGTGTCCACGAGATCTGAAAACAATCATTTTTCATCCGAGGGTGAACCAAATCAATCTTTCTTACCTTTAACACTTCCACCAAAGCTCTTGACTCCATTGGTCGCCGCCGGAGCCCTTCTTCTCAACGTACTCTCATCAGCCATTGCAGCCAACATCTTTGACATCTCGTCGTGTCTCTGCTGAGTATTCTGAACCACTGGTGGAGGGTTTCCATGATTTCTTCTTCTCAACGGAGCCGCATCTCCAGCTGCCCCGCCATCTGAACTTCCTTCCAGCGCCCAAATCTTTCCTCGTGTCTTATTCCTTTCTCTCTTTTCTGCCAACCGTTTCTTCTGTTGGAGAATCTTATTCCGAGTGGTACGGTACTCCAAAGCAAAGTCCGTAACCATCTTGAATACATCGTTGGGTGTTTGATTTGGAATCTCATCAACCGAATATCCAAAGTACAGTAGGAAAGCGTGCCACCTGTTCTTGGTTACAGTATAAATTGCCTTCAGCTGATGGATTCTCTGCGCCACATCAGTCAAATAATCGTTTATCTTTTTCTTCATATTCGATGTATCATTCTTACTGATCGTAGCCAAACACTCCCAAGAGCTCTTGCAATCCTTTTCCAGCTTCTGAAGGTTTTCCAACAATTCCTTATAATCCACTCTTGCACTTCTTGACACTGCGCCAAACTCGTCGTATAATTCGGAGCCTTCTGGATAGTGTTCAACCATGTACTCAGCCAAATGATAAGTCAATGTGTGCTTATAAACGGGATCCTTGACTTCTGATGCTTTGGTCAGATAATCCAGATAAAATCCTTTGATATCAGTTCCAGATAGCGAGTTTCCAATGGCCAGAAGCATTCCCATTGCCACTTTGAACGTTTTCGATTCCTCCATTTCTTTCATTGCCAATTGCATATCCATCAATGGTTCCGCAATGTCTTTCTCCACATTTTTATAGTCCAAAGTGAATAACCAAAGACGAAGTCGTTCCAGAAGACATGGAACCTGAGATAGCTTCAAAAGAAGCTGCTCAGCGTTTCCCAGTGTCATCTCTGGATTCTCGGCTGCCTTGGTTTCAATCTCTTCTACTTCTTTCGGCGATGGCATCATCGTTTTGAGAATCTTTTCAATTCCATCCTTGTTAAGCAGCGTGTTGTCGAATTTCTGAAAGATAATAAGGATGGAACAATTGAAAAATAGGATAATTAATACCATAATAGCGCCAGGGATCAAGTTAATTGGAGGCAGTTTGGTCAGTCCGATATTGATACCTTGTGATCGTTTCAATGGAAGAACAGATAATGTTTGGGTTTTGGATTCAGCGACTTTCTGGAAATTTAATTTATTTTTTAGATCTGAGTCTTTAACAAAAAAAAACTAGCCTTAATCGTAGCCTCCTTCTCCTTCTTGGTTTCGAATAATTGCACAATCTTTTTGGCATCAAAAGTCGGCACAGCTCCATCTACAGTATTCCAGAAGCTTCCTTTTTGTTTCAATGATGGAATGGATGGTTGCTCAACAGTTGCTGGCTTCCAATGAAGTTTCAAAACTCCCTTATTGGCGGCTGGACTGATATCGCCCCTATTCGTTCCATTCATCATAAGACTTCCCGGTGGTGGTGGAGGTGGAATGATGCCAAGTGGAGGTGGTGGTGGAATTCCTCCTTGCACTGAAAGCAACATTTTATTACGTTTTCAAAATAAAAAATTCTTACATCTCGGTGGCAGTGGAATCGCTGATGGCGGTGGTGGTGGAGGTGGGATTCCAACACCTATTGGTCCTCCTCTTCCTCCATTCTCAGCCATCTCCTTCATCTTTGCCATTCTAGCCAACTGTAATGGATCCTGTTGATATTCCACTCCATGGAACTGGGAGAAATCCAAATCATTAATAATAAGTGGCCGTTTCTCCAAATTCTCCGCAGCCTTCTTCCATTGCAGTTCCGCCTCTGATTCCTTCTTTTCAAATGCTCCAAGATTCGCCGCAGCCGATCGAGCCGCCCGTTTCTGGAGCATGTCAGCAAAACTATTACCACTTCCGACGTCGGCTTGTTCGATTTTGGCTCTTGGTGGTGGAGGCGCTTCTTCTACAGCTGGCTCCGGAATTTCTGAGAAATCCATTGTTTTTGCTTCTGTGGGCGAGAAAACTGTGGGGAATGATGGAGGTGGAGCTTTGACGAGTTTCAAACTTTCGTCTTCTGTTTCTTTTGGAATCTCATTCTCCTGGTTCTCTTGGACCAATTGAATCGGTGGTGGAATGTTCTTGGATCTCAATGTTCCGAATTCGGCAGTAGGAGAGGATGATGTCGTCTGTAAATTGGTTTGGAAATTGAAAATATATTTTTCATACCGGTTGGATATCATCCCGAACTGGCTGCTGCCATGGTGAAGAGACTGGAGATGGGATACGTGGAAGTTCGGGTGTATCACTGAAAAATTTGCATATTCCAAAAAGTTTTGATTTCTAGCCACAAATTGGCTAGTTATACAGCAATGTCAGTTTCAGAGTCAAACTTCATGATCCCAACCCACATTTTATTGAAAATTGTCCGATTCGCTGTGAACTGCTCATGCTCCAACTGACGCCTTCTCGCCTCTTCGTGACGTCTTCTCATCGTCGCCTTCTTATCGTCAGCTCCTCCAGAAGACGTCGTCGCCACAACATCATTCTTTGCGAATCTGAATATATTCCTAGTATTTTTATCACCCAAATTCTCTTCTTATTCAGAAACAGACACCACCACCATGCTACTACAGTAATCAACCATGCCATAAAAATCGCCACAAACCTGACTTCACGTTCTTCTCTCCGCCTCTGCGTCTCCACCTCTTCTTCCGTTATCCGCCGTCTCTCCTCTTCCTCTCGCTCTCTGCGTCTTCTCTCCTCCGCCTGCTGTCGCATCCTCTCTATCTCCTCCGATCGTTCGATTTCTTTGCGTTTCGCTTCCTCTGCTTTTCGTTTTTCAGCTTCTCTTCTATTCTGTAATGCCTTGTTCAACTTCTCCAGAGCAGTTTCTATATCTTCTGGCATTTCGTGTTCATAAGCTTTGGATCTTCTTTCCAAAGTGTTACTGGCTGATGTTATCGGAGCAGGTGGAGAGATCGGAGTGGGCGGAGCCGGGGATGGGGTTGACGGTGTCTGTTTGTAACTATCCGGACTTCGTGATCCATCTTCTTCACTTCCCATTGTAATTGCAGAATCATGAGAACCTTGACTGGATCGTCGGGATTGATCTTTGAATGAATCAGTGGATCTAGAATGATTGGGTTAGGAAAAAGAGAACACTTCAAAAGTTATAATGACAAAGAAAAATGCATCATGCCTCACGAACAATTTAAGACTCACCTCATCTTGACCACATCATCATCATTATCTCCCCGTTCATCTTCTTCCTTGAGCTCTCTTTCATAAAGACGACATTGCTCCTCAAGCTCTTTGTTGTTTGATCTACCCATTCTTTTGATAGCATCTTCCATTCCAAGAGTGTCTAGACTATCCACGGCATCGTAGTAGGTATCCTGAAAATAAAACTGACTAAAATAAAAAGTTTCTGTCAACTCACTCTATCCGGAATTCCGTGCAGCGCTTTATTGACAACTGTCATTCCATAAACCAACGTCTCCGCATCCGGTGAATCCTTCTCTGTCAAGACCTTCATAAGTCCTGACCAATCTGCTTGTCCTTTAGATTTATCGACGGTTTGAATAGCAGAAAGTACGAGAAGTGCATTGTTGTCATTGTATTCAATGAAGACCAGCAGTAGCTTCAGTGCGGTTTTCACTACCAATCGGAACTGAATAATGAGGAAATTTCAGAAGAAATAAGAAGTGATGGTCATGCAGCGAGCATAATTGTGTTAGGTTTTTCTAGTTGGGGTTACATGTATTTTGAAATTCATATTTGAGATAAAGAAGTGTAAGAGAGTGTCAATAGTTTTCAAAATAGGTTTAGACATAAAAAATTGGATCTAGTCGGTTATTTTGGTCTTTTGAAAAATCTCGGAATATCAGAATTTCGATTCTGAAAAATCCAAGAAAAACAAACATTTTCTCGAAAAAGAGAAAAAATCTTTTTTGATTTTTCGGAATTATTTGGATTTTTGGATTTCTAGAATTTCTGATATTCCTATATTTTTCTAAGGATCAAAAACTAATCGCCAAAATAACCGAAAGGAGTCAAAAATTTCAATACCAGGTTTCATACAAAAATGTTACCATGCCGGTTCTAGGTTCTTGAAATAGCATGCGCTAGCTTTTTTTTCAAAATATGGGAACACATAAATTCAAAGTTCTTTTTTATACATTCTCAAGAAAGATTCTTATTGACATAGAGTTTATTTTTTAAATTTTATAAAAAAACCGGATCACTTTTTTTCATACAACAAAATTTTTCATGCACTTATGCTATTTTTCAAAACACTCATGCAGCACAAAAAACATTACAAATTTCAAAAAAATTCAAATACCCATTCAAGACGAAACGGTGACATTTCTTTACGCTCTTCTTCGATGTACAACTGGACAAAACGACACAATTAGACACGGACATAGTTTTAATTTGGGGCGGAATTTGAATATTTGATAATTTCAAAATTTTCAGGCTGATAACTGACTAAAAGATTTGTAAATTTAAACTCCTCAAAATAGAAAATTCAAAACTTCCAAATTCTTAATTCCAGATCATTCCTTTTAGGCTCCGCGCTTACCGGTGAATCCAACAACTCATATAACCACTGAATCGTCCCATTATGTGCAATAATTCCATTCATTCCATCGACATAAAGCATCAACTGCCCAAGAGCTCTCAAAATGTAATTCTGATGATTCTGATCAGCTGTTCTTCCCAATCGTATCATACAATCTAACCCTTGATTCTGTACGAATTCATGGACCAAATCTTGATCATCCTGAAAGAATAGAGAGGAATTCAGGAAGCGGAAACTGATCGGTTGGATGAGTACGAACTAAGAGAATTAGAAGCTATGCAAAATAGAGAGATCTATATCAGTATACGAAGATTCAGTCACACATACCTGGAAAATCTGCTTCAAGGAGAATAGTGCGCGTCGTTGATCACGTCCGGAACAATTTAGAAGCTTGTCTGCAAAAAAACAAAGAAATCAAAAGAAGGACTTTTGTATTTTGAGATCTTCAATGAACTTGTGATTTACAGTAAATTTCAAAGTTTTCGAAAATATGTTTCCGGTGCGGTACTTTCGGGCTGTCGAATTTTTTTTACAAAAAAAGAGTTTTTGTATTTTTTCCAAAAAAATCGGAACTTTGGAAGAGGAAATCTGATGGCCGTGGCCAAAGGTCTCACAACGAAAACTACCGTAACCTAAAGTATTTTTATTTATCACAAATTGTATTTCTCCGACTTGTCTACGAAAATCAGTGAAGAAAAAGAAAGTAAATCGTGAATAAAAATATGTTTAGGTTACTGTATTTGTCGGCCACCGGCTTTTTTCCCCTAGCTCTGATTTTTTGTACCAGAATAATAGAGACTATTGTCATCATAGTTGAAAGTGGAGAAATCCCATTAAGTCAATCTTTTTAAAAAAATTTTTCTAGCCAATTTCTTAAATTCTCGTTGTTACATATTTCTATTATAAAACACCGCTATTACAACTTGAGTAATCTACAAATATTGTCTAATAGTAAAAGTTTGCAAATCATAAAATTTGGAATGTTTCCGGGTCACATTATTTGTACATACAATGCCAAAAAGCATGATGAATCACTTTAAAGTTTCCAAACTTCTGCATAGCAATTGCTAGTGAACCGGTGGATTCGGGTTTTCCGTGTTTTTTGAAAACTAAAAAACACTCACCAATAATCGTTTTGACTCGTAACGACGTCTGTGTTCTGAGCACCAAACTGCATCGCCTTCTGAAAAAATTAAAAATTAAAAATTTATATTCTTGATGCACCCCCCCCCCCCTCTATAATAATTATGATGATGATTGTTTTCTAACCTCCAAAAATGAATAATTTGCATTTCTAAAAACCTGTTCTCTTCCCCTCACTTAATGACTCACTTCACCCTGGAATTTAGATATTCATCACCCCAATCGAATGGGTCTTCTTCTTCGGGTTCCTCATCATTCTGTGACGTGGATTGTTTAGAAGACGTGAATGGGGATACGGTAGCCACCACCGGTTGAGATATTTCTGGGACGCTCAACTTCCGAATGTTCTCCATCGAACGATACCCGCTGTCTTCTCTGCGATGGAGAGAAGAAGGTGTGGGTTGGATGGAAGATTTAGAATATTCAGAAGATGGCGTGGTAGAAGGAGGTAGTGCACCAGAAGACGTGACTCCAGGAGAAGTAAATGGTGGAGAGTCATCATCAATATATGGAATAGCATCAATAACCACCGGAGCAGCACAATGTAGAACTGTCGGTCGATGAAAATTACGTGGCAAAGAACTGAAGGAATCCATCGGGACAGCAGAAGATGTCACCGTTGGAGACTCCACCAGAGTGGTTCTCCGTTGAACGGAAAATTTTCGAAGCGGTTTGACAATAAGGGGTAACTCGTGGGAAACCGATAACATACTTGCATTTCTTGCCAATGATTCATCCGAAACGTGCGTTGACAGACTGGAAAGGGGCGGAGCTTCGGACTCACGGAACGGAGACACATAGGCTTTTGTTATAGACGGTGGTGGTGGTTTATAGTTATTTTCAATTGGCGAGTATAGCGATTCGTATGGTTTTGGTTTGGTTTGAATTTCCGGAAACTTGGATTCATGGGTTGAAGTCTTGGTTGCAGAAGACGTGGTGTATCCAGATGGTGTATATGGTTTGACAGACGATCCAGCTGACGTTGGAGCTTCCGAAGGTGTGAACATCTTTCGTGAAAACGTATTAAGTGATATTCCGGGTTTTACATCATTGATTTCGGGTGAGGCGCATACGGTTTGGCGAACGCTTCGGAAGATACCACTGACGACTTTTTCATAACTTCCGGATATTTTGAAGTCATTGAATATGCACCAGAAGGAATGTATGGTGTCGCAAACGCTTCAGAAGATGGCATACAGGATTTTGAAGATTCGTAAGATCTTGTAGATGACGTGGAGGGTTCGTAAAACTTCGAAGGCGTGAATGATTTGGTTGAGAAGTTATTGGAAGCAAAACTATTCGTTTTTGAAGTTGAAGGTTCGGATTCAGAAGTCGTATATGGCTTCGCAAACGTTTCAGAAGACGTTGGAACAAAAGGTTTTGCAAAAACTCCTCCTCCTTCTTTTCCAGAACTACTGGAATAACCAGTAGGAATATAAGGTTTGGCACATGCTTCAGACGAAATTGGTTTCGCTGCGAACGTCTTCTGACGAATCACCGGAACATCTAGGTCAATTGGAGTTGCTCGGAGAGCTGACTTTTGAGGGCCACCACCTACATCAATGTCATAAGTTCGAAGTCCACGAGATTTAACAAACGGAGGAGCATAGGAAGCGGTGGCGGGACTACACCGCATTCAGATGTGGCTGGAAATTAGAAGGAAATTCGAAAAAAAAGTCAACGTTCGAATTGAGAAAGAAGTAAAATATTGCGATGGGGAAGAATCAAGCAGGAATAATTATGGTGTTAGTCTCGGACGATTGTTCAAGGTGAGTCTAAGGATTTTGTGGTGGCAACGAATGGAACGGAAGTACAAAGGTCAAGAACTGAGTTTTCAAGGCGGGTTGGGAAATGGGCTTAACAGTTTTCAGATGGTTTGAAATAACATATTTGAAACTTTTTGAACTAGCAGGTTCTATGTTTCAAAAATGCTTTTTTTGCTAAAACTTCAATTGGATGACAAGAGAAATGGTTTTAGGGGGAAATTGGCGGCAACAAAAAAATAGCTGGAATTTTGTATGCGCTTCATTAGATTATGGTAGTGAATGAAGTGTACTCCATAGAACAGTAATCTTGAGAATTTTTGATCAAGAAATAAAATATTTTAATATTAAAAAATTCAAAATGTATTACAAAAAGCTATCTGAATTCTTCAAAATCTCCATATACGGTTTAGAGGTCACCCACAGAGCCATAAACGATTCTCAAAACTGAAGGAGTGGAATTAAAACAAAAAAAAGTCAACGTTCGAATTGAGAAAGAAGTAAAATATTGCGATGGGGAAGAATCAAGCAGGAATAATTATGGTGTTAGTCTCGGACGATTGTTCAAGGTGAGTCTAAGGATTTTGTGGTGGCAACGAATGGAACGGAAGTACAAAGGTCAAGAACTGAGTTTTCAAGGCGGGTTGGGAAATGGGCTTAACAGTTTTCAGATGGTTTGAAATAACATATTTGAAACTTTTTGAACTAGCAGGTTCTATGTTTCAAAAATGCTTTTTTTGCTAAAACTTCAATTGGATGACAAGAGAAATGGTTTTAGGGGGAAATTGGCGGCAACAAAAAAATAGCTGGAATTTTGTATGCGCTTCATTAGATTATGGTAGTGAATGAAGTGTACTCCATAGAACAGTAATCTTGAGAATTTTTGATCAAGAAATAAAATATTTTAATATTAAAAAATTCAAAATGTATTACAAAAAGCTATCTGAATTCTTCAAAATCTCCATATACGGTTTAGAGGTCACCCACAGAGCCATAAACGATTCTCAAAACTGAAGGAGTGGAATTAAAACAATTGTTATAATATTAATGTACATTTTGCCTCTTTTGCAAATGAATGAACATGCAAATACGGTGGTTTGCTCGCCGACCTCTAACCATAAGTGTGAGATCCGAAACGAGAGAGTGTTTGAGCGGAAGAGACGCAGACAAATCAAGTACAATGTTGCACATAAACAAGTGCGAAGAAAAAGAAAGGGTTTCTTGTGTTCAGGTGCAGAGAAACAAAAAAAGTGGGCGGAGTCTCTCGGAATAAGAAGAAGAAGGACACTTCGGAGGGTCTCTATGTTTATAATGAAATAATTGAAGAAACGTCGACCAACCCCCTTTTTCTGTATTATGCAAAACGGAGGCGAATTCTGGTATGACACGACAAGAAGAAGAAGTCCAGCTGAGAGAATTCAGGTGATCACAGAAGAAATAGTGTGTGGATTGAAGAGAGTTATCAGCCAAATTGATATGCAGAAGAAGCGACGGAGATATCGAAAATGGTCGAGAGAAGCATTTCGGACCGAAGTGTTGAAATTGGATGACAAGAGAAATGGTTTTAGGGGGAAATTGGCGGCAACAAAAAAATAGCTGGAATTTTGTATGCGCTTCATTAGATTATGGTAGTGAATGAAGTGTACTCCATAGAACAGTAATCACAATTTGTTTTCAATAGCTGAGAAAGATTATACGTTTTGATAATCTCAGTTAAAAGTGAGCGATTTCATAGACAGCTACGTTCAATCCCAAACTGTTCTCTTTGCTTTCAATTTTCCGCATTCAAAGGACGGGAAACAAAAGATTTTTTTCTGAAATTATAACTCCAAACCGTATACCCATCGTTCGGCCGCTTCAGCTCGCGCCACCAAGAGCGGCACCTTCAACGGTGGGCCCACAAGTTCAACTCCTCGAGGGCCGTATATGAACGGAACTTCGAGAATTTTCAAAATTTGTGCAACATCAAACTGAAATTTTAGAAACTTTGCTGCAGTGATAAACACTTCAGCCATCACATTTTGATTATGCAACGTTTTTTTTGCGATTCTCCGAATTCGAATTAAAATATTAAATGTTGTGTTGCGAAAAGCGACTGACCCTATTTTCAACTGTCACAATCATCATCATCATCATCATCATCATAGAGAGATACGATATTATTTAAAACTTTCCCCTAATTATCACTTTCTCTCTCTCCTTCCGTTGGAAGAAAAGAGAAATCATATCGCTGCCCGTTCGCTTTTCCATTTCACTTACGTATCAGCTTTTAGAATATCCAGCTCTTCCTGCTGATCGGATAATGTCATATCGTTATCCAGATATGTATGCAGCTCTCCACCGCCACCTTCCAGTCCACGATATACTTGGAGAGAGGAATCACCGGCTTTATGAGGGGCTCGAAGGGTTCGGATCACATCTTGTAGTTGGTCGCCTGGAAGGAATGGGAAATTTAGAGGTCATTGATTTGAAGAAAAGCCTCAAAAAGGCAAAACTCACTGATACATTCGTGTAGTCTGAATTTAAAAGTCACTGGTCGCATCGGTTCGAGATATGAAGATGATGTGGTGGCGAATGGATCCGCATCGTTGATATACTGTATTCGACAGGTAAATGTGTCGTCTTCGTCCATTCTGAAATAAGCATATTTTTTGAAGCGATATGAGAACATGAAAACATGAATATTGAAGGAAGTTGTGGAACAGAAAAACAGGATAAAAACATAGAGGCTTTTAGAGTATTGTGCCTAGGGAAAACTAGGATGATCTTGTGACAAATATAGGATAAAAGTGGGTTAATTTAGGTTTAAAACCTAGAACACCGAAAAAACAAAAATATGCATATTGAGAATTGGAACATGAAGAATATGCTGAAAAAGCGAACCAATTTTTCTTCGATCCCATATTTTGCGTTGCCTAAATTTTGAGTGCCAGGTTCAGGATAATCTGGACCTTCAGACCTTCAAGACCAGAACTATAACTCTAAAATATTGCAAAACGAATTTTATACATTAAACAAGAGAACCTCCTTAAAATTTTGAATTTAGCTCCAAAGGGAATTTTTGATAAAACCTGATACTGTTTACACCAATAGAAGCCCACTCAAACTGGTAATTTTGAGCTCAATTATCTCGATTCCTGTGAAAGATACGAAAAGTTTGAAAACTGATAAATTATTCATCATAATATCGCCAATATTTTACTAGTTGACAAAATGTTGATGTCTCTTATAGGAGTCGAGATAATTGAATTCAAAGTAGACGGTTTAGATAGGCTCCTATGTATTACATAGACGTAACAAGGTAGATGCCATGAGCCACTTTCAAAAATCACTACCGGAAAAAATCACACGCGGAAAAAGAAATTGGAAAGGGTAACTGGAGATTTCGGAAAGTCAGGTGAGGATGTTGCAAGGGGTGAACGGGATAAAGGATGAGTACTCATAGACGGTTAGCTCGAAGAGAACTTGTTCAGAGTTTGGTCAAAGACCACAAACAAAAAGGGAAACTAGACTCTTACTTTGCTCTTTTGATGTTGGAATTTTTAAAAATATCGAGATTTTCTGATTGACAACTCAAACTGTTTGATCCAAAAAAAAACTATAACAGAAAAATCTGCTCCAGATTTTTATGAAATCGGACCAAAGCTGAGAAATAGTGTATAGATATCAGAGAGACGCCGAGAAATCGGCACGTGTTGTTGATTCGTATTGAAATCCACTGCAGAGGAGGTTTAATTTTTTTAGGGCAACATCGAAATTTCGAAAAAAAAAGAGTTCAGGGTGAAAGGAGAAAGTGCGCAAGGGGTTGGAGAGCAACTCACTAGAAAAGTCAATACAGTAAGATAACTCTGCGTCTCTCACTCTCTTTTATCTCGAGAGGTAAAAAAGGGAGAGGTCGAGATTTTCGAGGAGGCAAGAACCAGTTATTTGGGATTTGAAGGTAAACTTTTAGAAGAACAATGTACTGGTAGGAAAAGATTGACAAAGAGAAAAATAGAGGGGAAAATGATGATAAGCGAAAAGCTCCATCTGATAGGTAAAATAGAATCAGTAGGGAAAGTTTTTTTTTGGAATGTCAATGGAGAAGAACTGCTGATAAATGTTTTAGCGATGGCATTACGAAAGTGGTTCATCAAATGTTTTCAGTACTTTTTAAATCGAACAACATGATTTTTGGTTGATGACGTTTTTGGGATAGTTGAATTCATGAAAGTTTTCATTAAAAATGGTTTAATGATCTATTTCCTGTAGCCCACCCATGAGATATCAAAAATTAGTCAACTAATAAATAATTGGTAATATTGCCAAAAATAATGTATCAGTTAACAAGTTTTTGATATCTTTTACAAGAGACGAGATACTTGAACTCATAGTTGAAAAAAAACGGTTAGGGAAGATGGAAATACAGCATACGTTTTTTTTGTCGGCTGGTTGTATAGGGATTTTAAAATTTTCGAACTTTATAAAATTCTGAAGAAAAGGGTCATAGCGGAACCATAAAGAAAAATTTTTGAAAATTCTTCAAAAAGAAGCAGTATTCTTAAACCCATGATAGTTATTTTTAACTGTTCCAATCATTAAAGGTTTGAACTTTTATGATCTGATATTTTTGAAATTTTCTGGACTATCCCATTTTTGATTTACAAAAAAAAATAGTTTCGAAACTCTTAATAGCGCTTCTTCTTTAGCGCTTAATTTCTCAAAATTACAACCAATATTTCACAAAATGATGAAACCGGTTTGGAATGTTCCAGAACCTGCTGATAAGAGTTGGAACCCAAAAAGATTTAAAAAAACAACAAAACTAGACGAAATACGTCAAAGACAACTTCCGGAAACACAATGATCTTCGAAACATGGATCAGGTTACAAAATAACTGTTGTCGTTTCAAAAAACAAGAAACTATAATTGATAAGAAGACGAAATCAATGAAAAGTTCGAACGGTTTTGCTCTCTCTCTCTCTCTCCAAACACAAATACAGAGACTAAAATGCCGTGATTCTCGGTGTCATATCGGAAGAAAAGTGGGAGGAAAAAGAGGAGCAACTGAGGTTGAGCTCTCTCCTACCGTTTTGTTTGCATAATAATCGTTTTTTTTGTTCATCTTTTTAGTTTTTTTCACCTCATCGTTCTGCAGGTAAGTTATTGATAAAAGAAAGTTTGCAGATGGGCACGAACCCGGGGCACAAATTGGCTTACAGAATAAGGGACAACATCTCAGAAGGCCCTAAACGAGAGGACGCTGGTTTGAAACATTAGCAAGCTGATAAGAAGATGAACGAGCTGTACGAAATTGTACGAAGACACGTCGAAAAAGTGAAAAAGTGCTGGACCCCTGTGGAAGTTGATCATCTGTGGCCAGTCGGAATCTTTCGATGTCTCTTCACTTTTCACACTCACTACTCTCTCATTAGTGTCCCTTCCCGTGCGGGAGATTGAAGAAGAAGAAGCTTCGCTATCTCTATGTTACAGCATATGTCCAACCAGCTCAGAAGAAGGGGAAAGAAGCGTTCATTTTTACACATTTTGCCCCCTGTCTCTACCTTCTCCCGCCGACACGTACTCACTTTTGTGTCCACTCGGCTTTCTCTCTCTTACATGATTATCAAATCGCATCTCTTTTGTAATACCTGTGTTGATTGAGGATTTTGATTAAAAGAGAGAGGTTTTGAAAGTGAGAAATGTATAAGTTTGAGAAAAATTTGTTAGAAAGAAGTCACTATAGATTCCGAAGACATGAGATCCGAAATTTGAATTGTCCACAGAAGGTTGTATGAATCTAGGTGCACAATTCGTGTTCGAATGTATAAGATCTATAAGATATTTGTGATCTTTAAAGCTTCAGTTTATTCGGTTTTCAAAATTCTGTTATTTTTTAAGTTTAAAATTTTGAAATTTTAAAAGACTACACCTATTTCATCAACTTTGAGTACCACAAATGATTTAATAGAACCTTAACTCCACTTCAAGCTCAATTATCTCGGTTTCTTCAAAATATATCAAGAAATCGTCAACTGTTAATTTTTTTTTTCGTAAATCTTTCAGCATTTTATTAATTGACACATTTTTTATATCTTTTATAGCAACCGAAATAATTAAGCTCAAAGTGGCCGTTCAGGGTGGGATTCTATTTCGAATTGAGCCAGTTTACGAATGTACAAAAAACTTTGCAAATTTAAAGAGATTTTGATGTTTAGCTCTTTTAAAACCTTGAACAAAATTTGCCGAACAAATGGACAGCTACAAAACAATCAACTGGAATTTCCCGGCTAAACGAACAACTTTCAATAATTCTTGTAAGCTTAAAATTCGTAATGTTATACTGCCCTCTGAACTTTTACTTTATGGGATCAATTGGAGAGGTGACCAAAAAATTAACCTTTCCTACTAGCCATGGCATGATCTTTGCGGTAATTTACAAAAAAAATCGGATTCCGAGATAGAGAATTGGCAATGGAGCGGCCTTGGCATGTCAAATGAATACCTCTCCATTTTATTTTTTTTTGGCTCTCTCTCTCCCCTTTGAATCCATTTTCTTTCTCTCCCCGAACGGTTTCAATTTGCCGCAAGGTCTTTTTGGAGATCGAATCTCTGGGCATTCCAAAGCCAAACCGAAAAGATATATTGTCTCTCTTTTTTAGAAAGATAATTACGCAATTATCGAAAAAGGCAACCACCAAAGTGTCCCCAAACAGAGATTTATGAGAAAAATCAAAGAAAAAAGAAGAGTGTAAAATCTGGAAGACACCAACTAAAAAAATTATGAGGGATCATAAAGAATGATGACGAAGAAGTTGGAGGAAAAATAAGAAGAAAAAGAAGACAAATGAGCAAAAAATCAAAAAACGAGTGGACAGAATAAATAGGTTTCAGATGTTTTTCAGAAATAAAATGGGCTATAAAAGAGACAAGAAGATAGTAAAAAATGATTTTTAAATTTAATTGAAAGTTAATTTTCCTAGAGGCCGAAATTTTTCAGCCAGTAAAATGACAAATTCGTAGATTTATAAGAATTTCGTTATTTTTAGTGAAAATTCATATATGACATACATATATGATATACTATCGTTAACACTAATGGAAAATATTATATGCGTGGGCTTTGAGCTCAATTACCTCAACTTCTAGGGGAGATATCGAAAATCTGTAAACTGATAAAATGTTAGTGAACTTATGAGAAACATTTTTTTAGTTGGCAGATTTTTGATATCTCTGAGAGGAATTAAGATAATTGAGCTTACATAAAGTTCAAAGATAGCGGCCTATTTGAGTGTTTTTATTGGCGTTTGCCTACGAATATGCTTGCAGGCGTCACTGACTTTTTACAAATTTATGAGCAATGCCAATTTCGAAAAATATCAATTATTCAGATTTTGTACTTCCATCACAAACAATTACCTCTAAAACAATTCTAATTGGAATCCCAACGAAGAATGTAACAGGAGAAAAGGGAAGAGAAAATGAGATTAGATATTACACAAAAAATGAAGAAAATTTTCATTTTTTCTGCTAAATTAGCATCAATTTGATATGATTAGAGTTTGCAAAACAACTATGACTGAAGCTAATACTTTCGAATATCAAAAAAAAAAAAAAATAACAAAAAAGTCTTTAAAGGGTGTGTTACAGAG